AAAGCTGGATATGCTGGTACTAATAGAGGAATGGCTTATTTTTTGCATGCTAAGAGTTGCCACTCAAAAATAAGAGGAAAAGCGATATGTAAAAGCTATAATATTTGGCAAGATATGAGTAGTGCTATAGAGAATTACAAATGATGTGCATATAAAGAAAAGGCTAGTTGAAGAAGTTTTAAAAAAAACATCTTGTATAGAAAACTGTTTTTGATGTAGAGCTTAAAGGAGAAGAAAAAGTTTGGGCAGGTACAGCAGGGCTGAGGCAGCAGGAGTATTCCCAGGAGAGGCAGAAGCATGAGCACAGGATGGGAAGTACAGTTGTAGGTAGGGAGGCATTGCTCTACATTGCTCTACATTGCTTTATTACACTGGTGTGGGTAGAAAAATGTTGGCATTTACAGGTAAACTCAGGGTAGAATACAGAAATCGTCAAGCCCAGCAGGTGATATTAATGAGGACTTTGACAAGGGAAATGGAAAACCATTGCAGGTTTTGAGCAGAGTCACTTGATCCAGGTGGCAGGGGCACTACTAAGGGTAAGCACATTGTTCTAGGAACAAAAAAGGGCTCTTTATCTGGCCTTCCAGGATCAGGAGGCCTCCTGGAAAATAGCCAAGAGACAAGTGTGAAAAGAGCAGAGAGATTAGCTCAAGCCAAGGTCCAGAGGTGAGCTCCAGCCTGGAAGGCTCAAGGAGTGGAAGGTCTGGGCTGGTCATTAAGGGCCTTGTGCAACATGACGGGACCTGAACTTGATCCTGAGGGCAGTGGGGCACCAGCAGAGATTTTTATGGAGGGGAGGGACATAGTAAGTGACATGTCCCTTATACTGATCACTCTGATGGCTGTGTGGAAGAGGATGAAGCAGGAGGCAGGAAGACCAGGTGAGGGAATCCAGAAGTGCTGGTGGCCTGCATTAAGTCAGCATCACAGAGATGGAGAAAAGGAGCCACATTCTAGAGTAATCACTCAGGAAAAATCAACAGGAGTTTGTGATGGACTGGCTGTTGAGAGCAAGCAACAGGGAAGGGGCTGAGTTGGCCTCCAGGTCCTTGGGCAAGGAGGTAGCTGCCAGCATATGGTAGCCAAAGTGATGCCAGGGGAAAGTTCATTTTCTCCGAAAATATTTCCTGTCTCTCTTTTGGATCTCAGGCTCTCTCTTCTCCTACATAAAGACGGTAGCAGCCGGAGGAAGGTAGTGCCAGTTCTGGCTGTCCTTGGGATTCAGATTTAGTAAAGAAATGCAAGTACCCTGGTGACTGATACCTGTCTGCCCCCAAGTTTGGAGGAAGCTGAGGGCTGGGCTACTGAGCAGGCTGTGTACCTGGAAACCTGAGTACTGATTTGAGGTTTAACAGCCACATTGGAGAAAGTCCCTTTGGGAGACTGCAAGGCTGGCATCGCACTGGAATGATTGGGTTTAGATCATCTTTGAGACAAACAACCTGCTAGATTTGGATCAAACCCCTAGATTTTGATGAGGGTTTCTCACGGAAACCAGGATCACTCAGACAGATGTAGTAATGACATAGGGTGGCAGGGTCACTAAATAGCAGGAGGACATGCATTTCATTCCATTTGGGCTGGACTGCCGTCCCCCTCCCCCAAACTGTACTGAAACCTGATCAACTCATTTGTTGGAACGACACATGGATATGCCAGAGCTTTTATAATTTATCAGGACAGGAGGACAGACACCTCATCACCCTTGGCCCAGTTAGTACTGTTTCTAATATTCCTGGTTCACTTCCGTTTTTCAGCCTGTATTTGGCCGGCGATGGGCTAATTTGCATTACTCTTCTACTATTTTGCCTCTTTTTAGGATCCAGGCTGTTCCACTGGAAGCTTGTTTTAGAAGAACCGAGTCAACAAAAGCTTTGTGTGGAACTCAGCAAATTGTCACACTCGATAACAATGTTAAGAAAGAACAGGAGCAAACTTCGAAATGATGTTTTAGTTTTTTGTTTTGTACGTAGGGGGACGGGGAGGCGTGTTTGGTGGGTATGTTTGCCATGGGGAAAGTGTTCAGGAGTGACTGTCTCTCTCCATTATATTTTTAGTGAAGTTGCCAATAATCAGGATTTACATAGAATAAAAGACCCAGTGAATATTTGAAAATCTTCTCTTTCCTGTTTCTGTATACTGTAACCACGGTAACAAGACTTCTTAGGCTTGTAGATTTTTAATAAAGCAAATTGCGGATGAATTGTTAATAAATATTGAAGATGGGGTAGAAACAACTGTCACGGTAAATATGGTCTTCAATGTGCAAATGAATATGTCCTTAGATGTCCTTTTGTACAAAACCAATTAAGCTGTAGTCTCCTTAGCCATGAAGTTATTCGCTCTTTCCTACCTCACAGGAGAGGACTGAAGGATACCGTACTAATATCAGGTGAGGGAGAGCCCTCTGGTGGAAGATCATCAGGGCAGACAGTGGCACAGGAAAAAAAGCAGAGAAGTCAAAGAAGGAATGTTAAATTTAGTCCAGCGAGTTGAACTGCAAAACATAAACATGACGGGACTTGCCATATCCTCCTGCTGATTTGGAAGATATTTATCAACAAGTCTGTCATGTGGAATTGTCAGGAATGTATCGAGGCTTGTGCCAAGTAGGAACTCAAATTAAAATCATTATTCCAAGGATACACAATGTTCTTCATAGCCCTCACCTAAAAAGCTTGGGATGGACGAGGTCAGGGAGTGGGGCGGTGCGTTTTGGTAATAAATTTAAAAATCTAAAGTAGATGAGACGAACACCACCACCCCTACTCAGGGGTTGTTAGAGATAGGGTTCCAGTTGCTTCTTTAAACAGAAGAATGCAATTCATTGTGTTGTTTTTCTTGTAACTAGGAAGAAAATTACAAAGCACTTTCACCCCCTAATCCCTGACCGTAATACATGCCTGAGATTATAATGCCACATTTTTACAAAAATGTTCATAGTCTCTTGGCTAGGGTCATGGTATTTCTGTTGGCCCTTTATTCTTATTACTAATTGTTTGTAAATATGAGAGGAGACTTTAAAAATCTTAAAATTTTGCAGTTTAAAATGACTTACTGGCTAATTGTTTATAGAGAGAGATTTAAAAAATCATATTGTGTGGAAAATACCCCGCTGTACATGTCCTAAAAAACATATATCGTTAGGGTTGGGGCCCCTGGCTTATAGCGCTGTTATTGACCATCATCTGTGAGCCCCTCTCAAGGGGTCAAAAGCATGTTTCCAGGCAACAAGAAACTCACCTTGAAGCTTATACCCTACAAAACCTGTGTAAGATGCATCACCAGTGCTGTAGAGTCGGCCGGTGAAAATGTGGACCCAGCACCTTTTAGCTAAAACCACAATTGCCTTCATTTCCAGTCTGTGACACTGGAGAGTCTCTGACTGTCTAGTTGGCAAACCTGGTTTGTCCTTTTCTGACAAATGGCCGTATGGAGAAAATGGCTATAGCAAGAGCTTGTAAATCCTATCTGTCCTTCAAGGACCATCTAAGTAAGGTCTCCTGTCTTCCTTGCAGCCTGAACTCTCGGGGTCTTCCTCTCTGTGAGACTCACATGGGCGCTCAGTCACATGCTGCGTTGTATGGTGGCTTAACTCCTTGCACGGATGTCCTGTCTCCCTGGTAGATGCATATGCCCTTGAGGGCAAGGCCAGTGTATCCTGGGTCTAGTCATTCATACTCATTCATTCATTCAGTCATTCATTCATCCAATAAATAGCTTTTGAGACTATCTGGGGCCAAGTTTTACTCTCTGGAGATGTACTGGTGAACAAAACGAACAAGATCTCTTTCCTGCCTATGGGAGTGGTGAACCTTCAACTCATACCCACAACTGGAAATTTTCCACAAGGAAAGATAAATATAAATATATACACCGTGATAAAACTTACAGAGGAGAAAAGAATATAGTGCCATAAGAGAGAACCCTGGCCTTATTTATGTTGGGGGTCAGAAAACACCACCGAAGTGGAAATGTTTGAGATGAAAACCAAAGACATGGTATTCCCCATGTACTAAAAAGTACTTCTTACTTCGAGAAATGTTTAATCGGCTCTCAGGTCACGTGGTATAATACTACTAACTGCAGAGGGTCCTCCTGGCTGTGTCCTCCAGTGCAACCACACCCTTCCCTTATTTGCCACCAACCAGTGTATGTTCTTTCTGGTGCTCCCTAGTTCTAATAGCCCATGGAGACCCTGCCGTGTCAGCACAAGCTATAGTGGAAGTGAAACAGCTGGACCTCGGTGCTACTTGCAGAGATAGGACAAAGGTTCTTCTCGTGAACATATTTACAAAGCATTTTAGCAGTCTAGAGAACAATTATGCTAACCACAGCACCGTGCCCTTGATGGCTGTAATGCTTCAAGATAAAAAGCACGTGGCCTTTGGAATTCAGCAGATCTGGGTTTGAAGCTAGCCCTGTGACCTTGAAGAGACTTCATAGTCTGTTTTCTCATCTGTAAAATGAGGGCAAACTCACTTGAAACTCACAAGGTTTTGTGAGGATTAACATAACGCACCCAGACACAGAAGAGAAGGCAGTCGCTAAACCTTCATTGCAATCCCCTGTACTTCTTTCTTTCTGGATTTGGTCTGGGAGGGACCTGGGGACACCAGCAGCGTAATTATTCAGAACCTGGAAGCTGGAGTCAGGAACACACAGACAGAAGCCCAGATAAGTGGGTGGGGCCCACGTAGGAGGAGAAAGAGGGGCTTTGCATTAGGGCTTCTTAAGACTTTTGGGAGTTTGATCACAAGAAAGAGTCCATTCTAGGTCCCCCAGGAGAGGGATGTGAGCAGGGCAGGAGGTAAGTTTCCCTCAAAACCTGAGACCCATAGGTAACTGCATTGGTGAGATGGGCCTTGGGAGTGGTGCAGGGGAGGGCAAACAGGAAAGTATGGGAGGAGAAACTTACCTCTAATAGGACATGCGGCTTGTCTGCAAATGTCTGCAAATGTTATGATTATAATCAGATCCCTCTTAATCCTTTACAGGTAAGTACAGATGCTTCCAGCTTGAGAAAGACAGATCCCAAAGGTCGGAGTGCACTGTTGGCTGATATCCAGCAAGGAACTCGCCTACGAAAAGTCACGCAGATCAATGACCGCAGTGCCCCGCAAATCGAGAGTAAGTGAGCACGTGGGCCAGGGCGGCTGAGAGCCAAGGGCAGGCCATGGGAGGCTCAGCCAGACACGCCTGGCTTGCTCAGGGCAGGAGCCACAAATGCTACCCAGGACACACATCAGGCCATCTCAGACCTGCTCAGTGTACAATTCACATGGGCGAGAGAATCAGAGCTACCCTTCCAGGTCTGCAGAGGGTGTATAGCATGTCTACCATCACTTTTCAAATGCTTAAAAAAAAACCTTCACGGTAAGATAATTTTTTAGTTGTGATAAAATACACATAATATAAAACTCACCATTTTAACCATTTTAAAGTGTCCAATTCAGTGGCATTTATCCATATATATTCAGAATGTTGTCGCATCCATCACCCCTGTCTAGTTCCAGAACATTTCCACCACCCCAAAAGGAAACCCATACCTATTAGCAATCCCTCCCTAGTCCCTCTATCTCCCCGAATCCCTGGCAACCACTAAGTCTACTTTTTGTCACTGTGGATTTGCCGCTTCTGCATATTTCTTACAAATGGAATCTTATGATACGTGGCCTTTTGTGACTGGCTCCTTTTACTTCCCATAATGTTTTCAAAGCTCATCCACGCTATAGAATGTATCAGTACTTTACTCCTTTTTATTGTTGAAGAAGAGTTGGTTGTATGGATGTACCACTTTGTGTTTATCCACCGTGAGACAACATTTAAAGATCATTTACCCTGTGTCAACATAGTCCTCAAACTGAATGAGAGAAAAATTCAAGTCTCAACATTAACAAATGCACACAGATGTCCACAGAGACTGGCAAAGTTTTTGTTTTTCACAAGGAAAAATATTTCTGCTGAATTCTCTCACAGGATCATATGACTGTATGTTTCTGTGACTTCTAGAGTATGATGGTGTAAAAGGAGCCCTGTGCCTGGGTCAGATGACCGTGTTGAGTTCTGATTCTGCTACTGGGCAAATCAGGGAAGCTCTCTGAGGCTCAGTTTGCTCATCTGCAAAATGGGGAGATAATAATACCTGCTCTCTTTTTTTGTCAAGATTGTTGAAGGCTGAAATAATATATGCGGAAATATTTTTCAATGTAAGGTAGATGGTAATTCTCAAAGATAGTCCTAAGATATAATTGTATCTAATATCTGTAATTATATATGTTAATGCACATGGATAGACAAATTATTTTAAGACATATTTTCAACATTGATTATAATAAAAATTAGTTTCTGGCTAGACCCACTATCTAATTAGTTAAGCCCAATTAACAGATAAATCCATTTTATTGGAACACTCATTTCTTTATCATTCTAGTGAAGAGGTAATGTATAATATTAATACTTGGAATAATCTGGCCACATTCATCCACGAGTGGGCACTGTGCCCTGATTTCTCTGTACATATTAGCTTCAGGCTGTGAACATTTTCTGCCAGGAATTCTTGTAAGCTGTCTTCTCATTTTATGTAATCACATACATCTGGAAGGCTGGAATTAGTGACACCTCTCCTCAGGGGCTCATGAGCTTTCTCTTCCATAGAAAAAGAACCGGTGCAGGGAAGAACATGGGGCGCGGGGAGTGGGAGCTGGGGTAACAGAGAAGGAAAATGCCAAAGCAGAAATCACTGCAGACCTTCACTTCCTGCTTGCAAGTCCTGGGCCAGGCTCTGTGGACAAGAAGTTAAAATTACTGCCTGAATGAAATCTCTGGGTTTTCTTGGTCTAGTCCTCCCACGAAAGCAGTCAAGTGAAAATGGGGTCAGCTCTATACATACAGTGCCTGGGTTTTCTAATTTGAAAGGTACTACCAGTTCCCCCATTGGCATCTACTAAATGGCAGTATAAGGATGCTTTTTTTTTTTTTTTTATCCCTTTTCAGAGTGGTCACTACTGATGGTTCTTTGGTAGCTTGGAGAGGGTGGCAGACAGGCCTGGGCACATGAGTCTATAGGGTATCAAGGCAGGGGGTTCTTGAGAAAGGTACTGGGTAGAAGGGTAACACTGGTGGTGAGAACAGGACGGCTGCCATAGGCAGTGTTAGACCACAGTCGGGGTGAGAGTTGGCCACTCAGCTCTGCTCACAGGTCCTCATCTACTCGCCTCTTCTCTCTAAAGGTTCTAAAGGAACCAACAAAGAAGGAGGAGGTCCTGCAAACTCTCGAGGCGGGAGCACGCCCCCAGCCCTGGGAGATCTGTTTGCTGGTGGCTTTCCAGTGTTACGACCAGCAGGCCAGAGGGATGCAGCAGGTAAGGAAGAGTTCAGACTGGCTACCCTGTGACCCTTGTCTCCTTACCTTGTAGAACCAACAGGACAATCCTCACCTGCCAGTAAGGGACATGTTGAGAGTGAACAGTTATATGGTAGGAGATCACATATTTGGAAGCCTGAGCACTGGAAGTTTCCAAAACACAGAATTGTTTTTAAGGGATCTTTGAAATCCTCATCCTGTTTAAATCATCCCACTGTAATCACTGAAGAATGAGTTGCCATAGTGTAGAGTCTTTAGTCTTTAGATTGTGGCCCACACTGCAAAGTATGGATGTAAATCACAATAGAAGATCTTAGTGACATCACTGTGGACTCGCTGGCAATGCTGAGTTGTGATGGTTCTCCAGCATTGTATCTGTTAGGTGTTGCTGTGTAACAAACCCTAAACCTGAGGGGCTTTGAATAACCATTTATTTAGCTTACAGCTTGGTGGGTTGGCAATTAGGGTGGCCTCAGCTGGGCCCCAGCTAGCATCTACAGGTTGCGTCAGTGGCTTTGCTAATCATATATTTCTTATGTCTCTGGTGCCCCTGCTGGGACAACTGGCCTGACTGATCCCTCTGGTCTCTCAGGATCTAGCAGACTGTTTAGGTTTGTCTTCATGGTGATGGCAGGATGGAGAGGACAGAGTATGTAAAGCCTCTTGAGGCTTAGTCTTTTTTTTTTTTTAATAAATTTATTTATTTTATTTATTTATTTTTGGTTGTGTTGGGTCGTCCTTGCTGTGCACAGGCTTCCTCTATTTGCGGCGAACCGGGGCTGCTCTTCATCGTGGTGCGCGGGCTTCTCATTGCGGTGGCTTCTCTTGTTGTGGAGCACGGGCTCTAGGCACGCGGGCTTCAGTAGTTGGGGCATACGGGCTCAGTAGCTGTGGCTTGCGGGCTCTAGAGCACAGGCTCAGTAGTTGTGGCGCATGGGCTTAGTTGCTCCGTAGCATGTGGGATCTTCCCGGACCAGGGCTCGAACCCATGTCCCCTGCATTGGCAGGCAGATTCTTAACCACTGCGCTACCAGGGAAGTCCTGGCTTAGTCTTGGAACTGGCAAAGCATCACTTCCTACCACAGCCTGTCGCCTGAAGCAAGTCGCAGGCCAGCTCAGAGACAAGGGTGAGCAAGAGACTTCAACTCTGATGAAAGGAACGGCAAAATCACATTTCCAAGACTGTGGAATCAGGAATGCGTGGTTAATTGAGACCATTTTTGCAACCAGTCTACCACAGTCATTTGTGTTTTAACAGGTACCAGATGTTTTGAAAGCACTGAATTAAAATCGGGCAAATATATAATTATTATGTGCAAAAAAAAAGTGTTTTTCCTATTACTGTGCTCTTTAGTCAGAAAGACATAACAAAATCCAAGAATTTCATTTGTCTAGGGACTATCAAGCCCCAAACATTCCTGGTCTAGAGTCTTCTACCATGTGACTTCATTAACCTCTTCAATGGCCTCTGTGGCTGTTAGATGTTCCAGGGTGCATTTGCTGCCGTCACTTACTGATAAAGTCCAGTTTGAACCTTCGGAGCCATTTCATTTCCTCATCTTTGCTGAGACTTTGGCAGATAAGAAGGTGCTGAAGTCCTCCTGAATAAAGAGAGCTGGCATTCCTCAGTGCCCGCTTCTTTTTCAAGATTCCTGAGTTGGATCCAAAAAAAAGTCCTCTGGGGTATAAAACTTCCACTGGTCTCTCTTCACACAAATAAAGATAGGAGAAATAACCGCCGGTGAGCTTCTAACAGGGACCAGCCAAAGGAAGTCAGCAGTGTTCTAACTTGTCTCCAATAGGACGCAAGTGCCAGATGTTTGAGCCACTAGGTGAAAGACAAGAATTGACCTTTTTGGAGGCAACAAAGTCCATAATGAAGTGACTAATTATGCCTGTTCCAGGATGGAAACTCAAGGACAAGCCAATAGGTAGATACATGGGCTGGGTGCCATGTCAGAGTAAGACAGACCATGGCTCTCCTCTCTCAGAACTCTCCTATTGACCCCTTTGTCATTCAGAGAAAAGGACTTCGGCCCTTGCTGCCTGTCTCATCTTCTTTGCTACCACCCTCCTTGCTGTTCTTGCACATACCAGGCATGCTGCTACCACAGGGCCTTTGCACTGACCGCTCCTATGGCCTGAAACACTCTTCCTAAGGTGTCCACGTGGCCCAGTCTCCCTTCCTTCAAGTCTCTGCTCAAGTGGCAGCTGATCAACCTATGAGGGAGGCTTTTACTCATCATCTCATATATTGATAAAATGAGTCCCACCCTCTCATTCTATATTCCCTCTACCTTGATTTATGTTTCTTATATTATCACCATCTGACATATTATTTATTAACTGGTTTCTTTCTTTATTTTCTGTCTTCTCCCTCTAAATGTAAGCTCCATGAAGGCAGGAGCTGTGCTGTGTTCACTGCCTTACAAAGGCCTGGTGCGTAGTGGGTGCCCAGTAAGTATTTGTTGAGTGGAATGTGTGAGTGGGTAGTGTGGTTACTTAGAGCCATCAGGCCCAGAAATCAGTGTCTAGTGCTCACAATACTTTTAGCGGCCCATGAAAATGTTTGAATTTCTTTTAAAATTTAAAAAACGTGAACTTTTAGGGTCAAAGATTATATTTGTCTTTATACCAAAGCAGTCAGGAAACATAATTTTAAAAACATGTTTTAAGGAGGAAGGGGCCCACAGAGGCAAAAGCGCCCAGGGTCTTCGAAAGTCATAATGTGGCCCTGGCTTAGAGCTCCGAGGGAGGGATCGTTAAAATAAGATATGATGAGTAAACATCACTGGCTTGTATAGAATGTGTAATGAGACTTCCATGCAATCCAAGTTCTCTTGGAAACATAGACAGATGGAAAGAGGAAGCCATAGTTCATCTTTTGATAAACCCCAGGCTCTAAAAGCTGATTCCTTTCACATTAGTGAAGCCCCCTTGATGCTCTTGAGCTGGTCTTTCCCTACCCACTTCATGGTCTCCTCTTGTGTTTCTAATTGGATTTCTAGGGCTAGCATTCATGTTCTGAAGGAAAGCCTCCTTCCTTCCTTCCCTCGGTGCTTGCTCCCTCTTGGAGCCCTCTGTGCTGCCTGGTTTCCTCACCTGCACTGATGCTGATTCCCGTGGGTCTCACCTTCAATTCGTGCTGCCCAGCTCTCTGCATCGTCCTGGAATGGGCAGGAACATAAGCTGGGCAAGGTTTTGTGCTATCCTTGTTTCTGCTGCTCACATGATGATAAAAAAAAAAATGGCTTTTCCCATTTCTCATTAGGTTGGCCACTTAAAAGGTTTTGGAATCTCGGATACGTGGTGTTCCCAGACACTTAAGGGGTTGATTCTGTTCCTCAAGCTTGTTATCCCTTTAAAGTTCATCTGGCAGATGGGCACAGAGGGAGGCCTTGCCTTGTTTAGAGAGCAGTCTGGATCCTCCGTCTTCTTCTCTGTGTACTATGGAAACAGGTTTGAGACCTTGGATGCAGGAATCCCTGAGGCTGACGCCTATGTAAAATGTCTCACGTTGGAGTTGCAGGTGGTAGATCCTGTCCCTGGAAAGGACAGGTGGGGACCTTCCACCCCTGGTCATGGTCAGTCAGCCATTCTGGAAATGCCCGCCTTAGACCTCCAGTGGCACCAAGTCCGCCAGGGTGGATGCATAGGTGCAAAGACATTATCTCCTCCACGACCACCTCAAAGAAAATTGCAACAGAGAATAATGACACCACCACCCTGCCTCAAGAACAGCGTTCCACAGTTGAGACTCGTCCTGAGGCGTGTTGTCCAGGTGGCTGTCACATCATAGCCAGAGGAGGGTCATCTGTTTGGAAAGCCAGATACCGCGGTCCTGCTCACTTAGTTTCAGCCCCAGGATCGCCTCTTCTACATCTTGCCTTGATTGGCCTGACTTGCGGCGTCAAGTACTTTTAGGCATGATTTAGCACCTGATTGGGGAAACACACTGGAGACTCATGGGCTGAAAAGCTCAGAACCATCAACAGCTGCTGGCGTTATAATCTGACATGAAAGCTGTGTTTCCTATTCTGCGGCACCAGGAAGTTGGAGGTGTGAGAAGCAAACATTTTTTTCAAGTGTTTTCCACATGTATTCATGGAGATTATAAAATATAGGGGTGCTGGAATAGGAAACATGTATTCTCCAAAATTCCTTTTAGGAAGAGCAGTGTATTTATTCAGAAGAAATGTCTTAATATGCCTCCTGAGTGGAGGGTGATACTCCAAGGACATATTTAAGCGACTGCAGAACTTCTGTGCAGTAAACAGGGAGAGGAACTTTTTTTCTCCTCAGAGCGACAGAGGGGAAATAAGGGTAAGAAGTGGCAGTTGGGTGAAAAGGTGTGCAAAGAGTGAGGAGGCCCCAACAGGGGAGCACCCTCCACGCCAGTCGCCCATAATGTCCACCAAACACAAATGCTTACTGTGAGCAAGTCGTTGTTGCTGTTGAGTTCAAGAGGCATTGGATTTCAGGTTGGAGTTGATGTGGTAAAGGATCTATGGGGTGAGGAAGCCAGGTGACCAGGAGACAGAGAGCCCCTTAGAAATGGGCACAAGTCTTTGGGAAAGGGAGCTGTGAACTTCCAGAGTGCATGGAACTGGAAGGTTCAAGGTCATTGGACCTGGATCCCCAAGGCAGGGTGTCTTCCCACTGACTTCCAAATCACCTCGTCCATTCAGGGAACCTTGAATCTTCTGCTCTCGATGCAGAAACAAAGTCCTTGTTCACAAAGCGCTGGGAGTGGGGAAAACCTCCCTCGTCAGGAGGTTTTGGGTGGTACACCCGCAGATGTGGGCTGACTGGCCTAGTGGGTAACAGGGGACGAGTGTGCCGGCGGCCTTGAGATGAGGAAGAGTGAAGGAGGTCGGGGCAGTCCTGTGTCCTGGGCTGGGGGCATGGAGCCCTGGGCAGATGACAGTGGAGGTAGAATGGAACAGGAAGGCTGGCGCCACACAGCAGACAACCTGGTGGCTTGAGCTGGGCTTCTCTGGCAGGAGGCGGACAGCGCGTTGATTCTGGCAAGGACCTGGGGCTGGTCCAGCTGGCCCTCTTGTGTGATAGCTGCGCATCTGAGGCCTCCACTGGACCCTCTGGAAGAGAGCATCCACCAGGCGGTTCACCGACGTGCTGGACAGCGTCCGTCACTGCCGCCCACACCCTTGCGTTTCTCCCAATTCTACCCACTGAGCTAACTCAGAACTCCTTTCACTTTCAGGCGGCAAGACAGGGCAGGGCCCTGGCTCCCGAGCGCCTTCTCCGCGGCTTCCCACCAAAACTATCAGCGGCCCGTTCAACCCCCCTGCATCTCCCAGGCTAGGCGACGCCTCCGAGGCGCATGGCGTGGCCGGGACGGTCCTTCCTCGCCCCAGCATGCCCGCCCCACCTCCCCCGCCCTTACCCCCGGCCCTGCCCCCGCCCTTACCCCCGGCCCTGCCCCCGTCCTCCCCCGCCAAAGCCCCGCTGGTGTCCCCACCTGGCCCACCGACCAAGGGGAGCGCTCCGGTGCTCGCACCCCCTCCGCCCTGTGCACCGCCGCCTCCACCCCCGCCGCCCCCGCCCTTGGCTCCCAGTGACAAGGCGGTGAGGCCTCAGCTAGCCCGCTTGCACCTACCGCCCGTCCCGCCCCCGCTGCCTCTACTCCCACCTTGCGGGTACCCTGGGCTCAGTGCGGACGCTGCCAGCCCTGCCCAAGATGTGCCGGAGCCTCCAGCCCCTCCGCTCCCGCCGCCCCCACCGCCCCCGCTCCCCACTTACGCCCCACGCACCCCCAGAGCCTCTCTGCCTGCGCCCCCTTTGCCAGGCGCTAACGACAGCGGTGAAGTCCCACCCCCACGGCCCCCCAAGTCCCCATGCTTCCAGGCTCAGCCCCCCGAGCCCAGCGCGCAGGCCTTGCCGGCGCCACCTGCCCTTCCGGGGTCTCAGACGTTCCCGCAGAAGAAGAGGCCCGGCCGAAGCCCCGGTAAGCACCCCTGTTCTTGTCTGGGGGGGCCGTACCACAGGATCATCTGGCTGTTGGGAGGTGCTAGGGACACAGCCAGAGGCCTGCTACTGTGGGCCACTTGGGAGCACCTCGGGATGTCTTACTCTTGGGATTTTGTTTTAGAACACACCTGTTCAGTGCCCCTGTGGAGCACAATGAAAACGTGTTGTGTGGGACTTTATGCTGGAGGTATTCAGGTTAGAGACAAGAAACCAAGGGTGAGGGAGGTCGCAAGACTTGTCCGAGATCGTGCAGACAACACGCCGGGGCTTTTGGCCTTCATCACCTTGCCATTACTAGCTGTGTGACCCAGGGCAATCACTTAGCCTCTCTGTGCTTCCTTCTCACCTGTGAAATGGGGATAGCAATGGTTCCCCCTCATGCGGTTGTTGGAACAGTGAGCTCCAGAGAAGGGTTATTTATTTTTACTATCACCATTCAGACTTCAAATCTACTCCCAGGGGTCAAGGTGTCTGTGGGTGCAGTTGTTTCCAGAACCCGCTCCCCTGTTTATTTTTTGCCTAAGTTATTATAGTCTGGCACCTGGCCAGAATCTTCACTGGCCCTCAGCAAATTAGCTTAGCATTTTGCCATATTTTTGGCAGGTTCTCCAGCTGACTCAGGAAAACGGAGGGTCCATGTTTTCAGCCAAACATTAAAAATAATCCCTTCACGTATTCAGCAGAGATCATTCTGGATTGAATATACAGGCCCTATGACTGTGATTTCCATGAAGTGATGAGGCTTCGATCACCTTTGGTGTCCTTCTAAATGGAAAGCACGCTACACATCCACACACACCCGTGTACACACACACACACACTCATAAACATATGCACACACTCAAGAACACCCACATCCACACACACAGCCCAACACACATCCACAGTTATACATACACACACATACTCTTTGGTTTTTCAGAAAATCTTTTGATGTAGAAAGTTTCTTAAATGTATGCCCTTGAATTAAAAATAATACAAGCTCATTGTAGAGAAAATAGAAAAAAATTGAAATCATGCATAATAACATCACTCAGAAATAAAAACTGTCATATTTGGGTATGTTTCCTTTCTCTTTTTTCTGAATATATCTACATATTTACAGGGTTAATATTAATACTATTTTGTATATACTACTTTCTATTCTGTTTTTATTTAGTATTATATTAAAAGCAATTTTGAATACACAACTATATATAAAATAGATAATCAACAAGGATCTACTGTATAGCACAAGGAACTCTACTCAATATTCTGTAATAACCTATATGGGAAATCTGAAAAAGAAGGGATATATGTAAATGTATAACTGAATCACTGTGCTGTACACCTGAAACTAACACAACATTGTAAATCAACTATAATATAAAATAAAAATTAAATTAAAAAAAGCAATTTTGATATAATTAGATATTTGTCAAATTGTTAAATGTATCTATAAGCATATTAATGTGATCATTGATATATGCCATATTTCCAGCATTAGATATTTAAGTTGATGCCATTTTTTGTTATTATGAATAATATTGCAGGAAATACATTTATAGCAATTGTAGTCTACATTTTGGATTATTTTTTTTAAAGACAGGTTCCTGCAAGGGAATTCCTGATACAAAAAGCAAGAATATTTTTAAGGCTTTTGGTCACAAGAGATAAGGTTTTAGTCATTCTCTTTTCAGCTGACTAATCACCATAAGGTCCAGCATTAGTACTCATGAGCCCCTTCTGACGCTTGTGATTCTTAAATGTTCAAGATGTGGTGAAAAAAACCAATGCTTTAGATTCAGAGAGATCTGAATTCAAATCCTGCCTTCCCACCCACTCCTGTGTAACCTTAGGCCAGTCTTTTTTAATGCCCTTAAACCTTGCTTTTTTCTAATTTGACAAATGGAAATAATAACAGTAAAACACCTTTCACATAGGACTGTTATGAACACTAAGTGAGGAAGTGTGCCTGAAGTGCTTTGCAAGGAGCCGGGGCTCAGCAGCGTGATTTCCTTTCCTTCCCTCTAACCAAGTGCAGGGGCAGCTTTTCACCCAGAAGAGGGGTCAGCAGCCCCTTAGCCTCTTTAGTCTGCTTGTGGGAGCAAGTAAATCCTAGTGGATTCTGGTACAGAGGAAGGGAAGACCAGCAAGGGAAAGGAAGGGGACTGGGAAAGGAGAAAGGCAGAGAGTGGAGCTGAGAGGGGAGGTGCTCTGATGGCCTTTGGGGAGGAGAGCAGCTGCGGCGGCCGGGTGCCTTTGCAGGCTCCAGAGCTGCACGGCCGAGGCCAGGAGTGGATGCTCATCTGGCCCCTTTCACTGCGTCTTTGGACGTGAAACTTGGTTTTCCGTGAACAACATGAGGGTAATTTCTGCTTCAGGCCAACTGCAAGGAAGAGTAAGAGGTTGCAATTGTGAACATCTTGGCACAGATGATAAAGGAGCCGTTGTCATCACTTCGAGAGTGAAGTGAAGAGTCAAGGACCTGGGTTGATGTGCCAAGGCAGCGGGTTATTAATTGCCAAGTGGGTCATACAAAAAAGTCTTGGCAAAGGAGAGTGAGCCTCCCGCAGAGGTCATCAGGGAAGAATTGATGAAGTAGATGAGATCTGAGTTGGGCCCTGGTGGGCAGGTAGGGTTTAGATTGACTGGAAGGAGAAACGAGGGTCTGCAGGGCAGGGGAACAGCGTGAGCGGACCCAGGGGCAGGAGCAAGCCCCCGACAGCTTGTTCATCTAGCCCCGCTCTGAGCCTCACCTGCACACAGTCCTTCCCTTGCGTAGGACTCTGCAGTGGGTCCACTTCTTTGGGCTGTACCATCTGATGATGAGGGTTGATATTATCACAGCAGCTAATATTTATTGAATGCTTACTACATGCCCCTTGAATTTTTTTCTTTTTTTATTGGAGTATAGTTGCTTTATAATAATGTGTTAGTTTATACTGTACAGTAAAGTGAATCAGCTATACGTGTACATATATCCCCTCTTTTTTGGATTTCCTTCCCATTTAGTTCACCACAGAGCATCGAGTAGAGTTCCCTGTGCTATACAGTAGGTTCTCGTTAGTTATCTATTTTTACATGCGACTTGAATTAAATCAACTCGCTTAACCCTCTCAACAAACCCAGGAGGTATGTATATTATTATTCCCATTTTATAGATGAGGAGACTGAGGCACAAAGAGGTTGTGTTATTATCCCAGCAGGAGAACTGGGGTTCAGTCCCAAGCAGCTTGCCTCCAGAGGCTGCCTTTTTATCACCGTATCATATTATATCCAAAGATCTCAATAGCTCACCTCTCACAGAAGGTTATAGCATCCACCATGCCCTATCTGAAGGCCTGTATCTGAATACACTGTCCTCTTCTCTGTCAGCGACCAGTGGGGGAAAGCTGAACCCGCCCCCAGCACCCCCCGCGAGGTCACCCACCACGGAGCTTTCAAGCAGGAGCCAGCAGGCCCCAGCCTGGACCCTGACCCAGCAGCCTGGAGGTCAGCTGCGGAACGGAAGCCTGCACATCATTGGTGAGCAGGGCTGTCAGTGAGGAAATGGTTTCCCCTGGCTCAGGGATGGGGGGGTGGTCTCCCAGCCCACAGTGCCGTCATTTCAGGGTGCGTGCTTCACAAGAACAGGGGGCTCACTCTGGCACAGAACAACCTACAGGTTGTGTTAAATAAGGTTTCTCTTGAGGCTTTCTGGGAGGTTCCAGAACCCACTCTCCAACCTTCTTGAGATGGGAAAGTCATCTGGGGTCAGGTGTGACCAAAAGTCTTTGGATCCCTTTGTGGGCTGAGCTACTGTCACACACAAAGCCTAGATCACAAAGCAGGGACTCAACTCATGAAAGGGCCACGAGACCCCTCTCCTCTTGCCATCAGGAGCTCAGGGCAGAACCCATTTGCTTTAGGATGCCCAGGTCTCCAGATGCACACAGGCTGTGCTCCTTCCCACCAGCCAGGCTGAGGACTCCCGTTCTGTCCACCTCTCCCCGCCAGAGTCCTCCCCAGGGACACAAGAGGGGCTTCAGGCCACAGGGACTTTGCTGGTCCCTTGTTGCTGCCAGTTTCCCCACCTCTGACTCTGGACCCTGGATAGGCCTGTGGCACTTCTGCTCCCTTTAGAAGCTTCCTTAAGATGCTGGTTGAAGTAAGTTGAGGTGGATGATGGGGAGAGTCTATGATTTCACTTTTCCTGATTCCCCCTTGCCCCAGCTAAATAGTAAAAATTAAGAGGTGAATGGATGTCTTAGGGGGGAATAGCTCTGCCATTAAAATCTTGCACTGGGCAGGCAAACCTGTATGCTCCTGGCAATGACCAAAACTTGGGTCCTCACAGTAACCAGAATAATTTTGGCATTTCCGTGTGTGCAGATGACTTTGAGTCTAAATTCACGTTCCATTCTATGGAAGATTTTCCTCCTCCGGATGAGTATAAACCATGCCAGAAGATTTACCCCAGCAAGATCCCCAGAAGTAAGTACCACCTTGATAAGACTACTGGTTTTCCCTGACCCTCCAGAATTAGGTGCTTGGGTGCACTGTCTGGCCACAGGCTGTGTAAAGTGTGACATCAGGATCTCACTGTACTATTGCAGGGATGCAGTGATGTTCATACTTCTGGAAGTTTCAGAACATTTATTTGCCCTAATCTCCAAGGGTTCATTTAGAGGTTTTTTACAGAACACCAAGTTTAGTTATGTGGCATTGGATTTGGATGCCTAAATTTACCACTGGTCCCTCCCCTCCCTGGGGCTTTTGACTGGGGAGCTAAACGCCCCAAGACAAAGCAAAATGGGATTCAGGAGCTTTGCATTAATAGTTGGGGAAGAACCCCAAAACCCCCAATTCAAAACTCTGGCAGACTCTGAAATAGAGAATGCCTTAGGTCAGTGGTTCCTACTTTGGCAATGCATTAGAATGACCTAGACAGCTTTTAAAAATCTGAAGGCCAGGCTGCACCTAGCGCAGGTAAGTCAGAATATCCAGGGTAGGACACAGATGTCAGTATTTTTGAAAATTGCCACGTGATTCCAATGTCCATCTAAGGCTGAAAACCTCAGTCCAGTGAGAGCCTTCCTCCTCCCGATCTCATCGTGCGGCCAGGCCCCAAGAGAGGCCTTCACTTGGCTTACCTGCCCAGCCCTAAGAATCAAGGAAGGCTGGCCGGCTTGCCCTTCATGGCCCAACGGGCAGGGAGGCAGTACTTCAGGAGCACAGAAAGCAAAGAAAAGCACAGTAGGTGTTGACCACACAGCGATGCTGCCTGTTAACGTAATTCTTGTCCAGTGCTGATTCAATCCAAGTGGGCAGGAGCTGGTAAGAGGGAGGCAGAGCCAGCAACCTGGGGTGAGGGTCCAATGTGTTTTCCACCCCACAACCCGAGTAAGGCCCCCAGCCCCAGACATCTGCAGACCAGCATGGAAAATCATCAGTATCCAAGCTTAGCCCCAGACCGGGAACCTGGCTCTTTGACTGTCTCCTTTCAAAGGGGCCTTGGTGAAGTCCCTTCCCCAGGGTTCAGCTTCCTGCAGGGCAGACCAAGGAGCACCAGCCTGCTCTCTGCTCAGGTGAGAGGTCCTCTCGGGATCAGCCTGGGCAGAGCTTTCTCTGCGTGCCGGTGGATTGCACATTTAGAGAGAAGTGACTTGTATGTTTTTGTTTTGTTTTGTTTTGTTGCGGTACGCGGGCCTCTCACCGTTGTGGCCTCTCCCGTTGCGGAGCACAGGCTCTGGACGCGCAGGCTCAGCGGCCATGGCTCACGGGCCCAGCCGCTCCGCGGCATGTGGGATCTTCCCGGACCGGGGCACGAACCCGTGTCCCCTGCATCGGCAGGCGGACTCTCAGCCACTGCGCCACTAGGGAAGCCCACTTGTATGTTTTTTAATAATATGTAAATACAGTTGACCCTTGAACAATGCAGGGCTTCATAAGCATTGTTGGCCCTCCACATCCTTGGATGCGGAGGATTCCACCAACCACAGACTGTCGTACTGTAGTTTTACTACTGAAAAACATCCTTGTACAAGTGGACCCATGCAGTTCAAATCCATGTTGTTTCCGGGTCAACGGTACTCCTCTGAATTGAGAGAGACAGAGGAAGAGAGAGGAGCGGGATAAAGATTGATGAAGGGAAATCACCCCACGTGGGGTTTAAATAGACAGTGGAGACGTGATGGTGGAGGACACGGGTGCTGGGTCAGGCTCCCATTCTTGCTCAGTTCGAGCTCAGCAGATGGGCGTGAACTGCCCACTGTACACTTGGCACCATGCTGGCCCCAGAGACTACGAGGTATAAGCAACAAGGTCCCTACCACCAAGTCGCCAGCGTGCACACTCCCGAGATAGAAGTGTGAGATATTAACTGGATCACAACGGAGTGTCTTAATCACTGATTGTTTAAAGTGCAGGGGGCACCACAGCGGGCATGAGGGTGGAGGTGGAGACGGGACTTGAAGGCGTAGAGAGAGGTCACATTTCCACTGGGTGGAAAGGCTGAGCACGGCACACCCCCAGGAGAGAGGCACGATAGCGTTTGGGCCGTTTAAGAATGACAGGAAAGTCCTACGTGGTGTGTGAGGGCACACGGTGCCTGGAGAGGACCGCACCGGCTGCCAGAGATGTTAGGCTTCGCGGGGCAGAGGGTCAATAAATAATACTTCTTTTCCCATCATATGAAATGTTCACAGGTCAGACGGATGAAGATCTTAGTGTTTTTACTGGAAGAGCTTAGGTCACAGCAAACTCTAATACTGGGGGAGGTTTGCTGACTCCCCCAGGCCAGGGGATTTACAGGTGAGGAGACGTAGGCTAGCCTCCCCCTGCAGCCACAGAGCAGCCTCTCAGAGCTTTCCACGTGGCCAGGAGGGCAGGACGGAATAGTCCTTAATACACAGGCAGCCAGATTTCAAAGAGGGAACCTAGAAGGGGCCAGGCTGCACATGGCTAGTTCCCTCTGTTCAACTCACCAGAAAAAGAGGGCAGAGAGAGCCTAGGCGTGTTACCTACCCTACAGGAGGTGCCCACACATGAAGAGGACAAGGAGATATGTTCCCTCCTAATGTGAAGGATGTTTTATCCCTTCTAAGGGATATAAGCAGAACCTATAAGCAGAGCTGTCAGTGAAATACTAACCACCGCCAATACAGTAAGTGCTCCTGTCGTAGACCTGCTCAGATGTGCCTGGCATGGTCCTAGGTGCTTTGCAGACCTTATCATAAGTCCTTAATGTAGAAAGTTTTCACGTAGGGGAAAGGAGGTCCATACAGGCCAAGTGACTTGCCTAAGGCCTCACAGCAAGTTAGAGGCAGAGCCAGGAATTTCAGACCCAGGGGTGTCTGAGCCATGCAGCCATGGTGAACTCTGAGAAGGGATGTGGTTAGGTCTAGGTTGAGTCTGATAACTGGTGGTTTGATCAGAGGAGGTAGAGACCAAGGTCAGGAAACCTGTGGCTTTGAGAAGGGTCCATGCGAGGGAGGATGGATGGGGGTGAGGGTTGCCAGGGCTTGGGGATGCAGGCCATGAGAGGAACAAGAGAAGTAGAGGAGGAGCTGAGGGCCTCTGAGTACCAACCTGGGCCTGGATGGACGGTGCGGCACCAAGAAGAAGGAGCTGGAGAGGCGCAGGTTTCAGGAGGAGACAAAGTGATGGATCAGGGCGAGTGGAGGTGCCTGGAGGGCTGCAAGGGGGAGATGACCCGGGGCAGGTGGAACAGGGAGTACACAGGTCTGAGGCTGAGGGGTAAGGTCAGGAATGGGAACTAGCTCTGCGGGTCATCAGTTTGGAGCCTTACCCTAAACCAGGGCTCAGCAAACATTTTCTTTAAAGGGCCAGAGAGGACATGCTGAGGTTCTGCCTGCCATCTGGCCTCTGTCACAACTACTCAGCTCTGCTGTTTTGACATGAGAACAGCCACAGACAACACGTAAAGAAATGGGCATGGCTGTCTTCCAGTAAAACTTTATCTGTGAAAGCAGTTGCTGGCTGAATTTGGTCTGCTGGCTGTATTTTGCTGATCTCTGCCCTCAACCACTTCAGAAAAACAGAGTCTTAAAAATCTCTTTGTTATACAGCCTTTCTCAGTAATGTGCTGTGGAGTCCTTCAATCTTCAGACTCAGTAAAATCGAACTTACCTGCATTTGGAGCCCGTGGTGCCTAGCCTCATCTCTGAGAACAGAAGAAAAGCTTCACCCCATACAGCTCACCAGGAGGGCAGAGGCGGCAGTCTGTGCTGTGTTCCTCTGCTTTCAGAGAAATGTTCAAATCAGTGCCCACACCAAAATAAATAATCTCCTGAGGATCAAGAAGGAGCAGTTAAAAAAAAAAAAACGCAACGTACTAATGAATTGACATTCTACAGACCAGAAAGGGCATTTGCCATTTCAAAAAGAAGATATAGCTTTAGACTGATGTGGCATTGGTGGACATAAAATACTTCAGTAGCCTCCTAGCACAGTTAACTGAGCATGTTCCTGCCGTTCCTGCGAGCCGTGGGGGAGACGCTTGTTAATTATGTGGGTGTAGGTCATGCCTATCTGATGACATTTCTTCTCACAGTTTTTCTCTTGCATTCTGCCATTGACCTGTAACCCAAGGTTAGAGTTCTTCATGGTGTGGGAGACTGCGTTGCTTCCGTCAGATGAGGGTGTCCCTGTGCTCTTTTGTAGCAGTTCTGGAGCTCTGTCTCCGCCCGCTTGCCTGCTTTCTCTCTGTCCTTCTGAGACACACACACACGTGCGCGTGTGCGCACACACACACACACACACAGAGCACACACATACCCTAAGGCTTAGCTCTTCCGGCGCCATCCTCCCTGTCTCCACTCTGCAAGTATGAGCCATGCTCTTTCTTTGGTAGATGATTTTGTCCAATTTTTAAGTGTTTTTAAAAGGCACGGGTTCCTCAGTAAGTTAAACAGAATTACCGTATGACCTAGCAATTCCACTCCTGGGTGTATACCCCAAAGAATTGAAAACAGGTGTTCAAACAAGAGCTCGTAGACAAATATTCACAGCAGCACTATTCACAGTAGCCAAAAGGTGACCACCCAAATGCCCATCAGCTAGTAAATGGATAAACAAAATGTGGTGTCGTCGTGCAATGGAATATTATTGGACAGTAAGAAGGAATGAAGCAGTGGTATGTGCTACAACATGGATGAACCTTGGAAACATTATGCTAAACGAAAGAAGCCAGACATAAAGCCCACGTTAAGACTCCATTGATATGAAATATCTAAAATAGGCAAATTCAAAGACACAGAAAGTGAATTTAGCAGTTGCCAAGGGCAGGGGAGTATGGAGAATGGGGAGTGACTGCTAATGAGTCCTCTTGGGCTGATGAAAATGTTCTGCAACTAGATAGTGGTGACGGTTACACAACAACGGGAATGTACGAAGTGTCATTAATGGTAAATTGTATATTATATGTACTTTACCACAATGAAAAGAAAGTGAAAAAACCCTATCGCTAAGAA